ATGCCACCATGCCCAGTGGGTCCTGTATAAGAAATTTCAGAATCAGAGAAGATATGACCACAGAGGAATAGGTGATAGTAGGTTCTAGAAGCTGGAAAATGCAAGGCACAGATTTGCCCCTAGTACCTCCAGAAGGAATGCAGGTGTCCTGATACTTTGATTTAACCCCATATAGCTCACTTCAAACTTCTGATTTTCAGGCCACAAAGTTTACAGCCATTTACTTTCGTAGCAACTGTAAACTAATACACTGATAGCACTCTTTTCTCCTTTTCCTAATACACAGACTCATCCACTTCATATCTGAGGTAAATCCCTTACCTGTTCTTGAACCTTTCACAAACTTCACTATTTGCTGCCTATCCGCTCATTCTTGAAATACTTTCTGACTCTGGATTATTTTTTTAAATATACTTTTCTCTCAGCCATAACCACAGGTTTTTTTGTTTCTTTGGTACTGGGGATCGAACTTGGGACTTTGCACTTGCGAGGCAGGCGGCAGAACCACTGAGCTAAATCCCTGACATAACCACAGTTTTAATTACCATCTATCTAGAGGAAACCCTCAACATTTATTTCAAGTCAAAATGCTGGCCATATTTGGATAACCACATTCCTATTCAGCATCTCCATCTCACAAGTACTTCCAACTCAAGTCAAAAATTGAACCCATTCTTTTCCCCTTGAAATCCGTTCCTTAGTTCAGTAAAGGACACCATTAACCCAGTTACTTGAGCCAGAAATCAGCAAGCCCTTCTTGATGTCTTTCCTTCCTCACTACACATATCTGAATCAATACAGGTCTGCTCTTTTCCCCTTAAAAATACATTTCTCACACTGTGTTCAATGTGGTCTTAACTGAGCAACTCTGAACTCCCCATCTCGAACAACATGACTGATCCCTGCCTGATAGTCTCTGCTCTATCCTTTGCCCCTAGGTAACCCCAAGTAACTCTTCAGCAAAGTTAGGTCTTTCAGATATCCACTCACACAGTGTCCTATGATGGATTATAGCCCTGAAAAGCCTACTTTGTTTGGCTGCTTTCACATTACAACTGGAGTTGGCAGAACTAAGACTATACATCCTGAAAAACCTAAAATATTTACCATTTGATCCAAAACAAAGTTTGCCAATCCCTGAATTCATGGTTTTCCTATGATCACTTAAGCTACATGCAGAATTTATGAAGTGATCATGTTAGGTTAAAAGTAAAATCCAGGTGATTTCCTTTCTATACTATTTACAATATTATCTGGTACCTGGATCTTACAGATAGACATGCTTAGCTCAAAGAAAGGGGAAAAGAAAGAGGTCAGACTCCTGTACTGCCCTTCATTTTAAATGTAGGCTCAAGTTTGCTCACCCATATGCTACTGAACACATTAACTGTAACGTTAACTTATTTCACAGAACTACAAAGAGCAGCAATAAAGTAGTTTTTAAAAAATCTTGCATTAAAAAACAACAACAAAAACTCTTGCACTGCTAACAGTTAAGAACATTAACTTAATGGCAAATTTCCTACTAAGCTGGTATTCCTCAACATAACCTGATTGTGTGGAATTAACACTCTCCTCTCTTAATGCCCCCATTTTTAGTTTACAAAACTCAAATTTGCTATGCTTCTTTATTATTCCACATTACAAACTAGAAATATGTATATACATATATGACACACACATATATATTCAAACTATTTTCTAATGTCCTATTTTAGATCTATCTATTCCAAGTATTGAACACTCCCAGTATGGCCTGAACTTTAAAAAGCTAGCCACAAAAACTGAACCATCACAATTTCTCTCACTCCAGTCTGAATATACACTGGAATCCAGGATAACAATCACACTTTCTCTCCCAAGAAAAGATCCTAAGGGTAGGATATGAAAAAACAAAAAACATTAAAAGTTCTCTAAACCTTGGCCAACTGGTATGTATTAGCTATTCTGAAACATCCAGAGTTTCAACCTTTCCAGAAATAAAATGGCATTAATATTGATTAGTTAAGGCTGTTTTTAGATAATAAATTTAAGTGTCTGGTAATTTGGAAGTCTTAAATGAATTAAAGCGTCAGCATGCTATGTCAGTGTCTGAAAATATGAAACATTTATGCCACAAATGCCAGCACAAGCCACTTCTAAACACTTTGTACCAAAGACTAACCATTATTAACACCAAATGTCAAGCAACAGGGCCAAATGATCTACTTGCGTTTTCTCTCTTCTTACAACATTTCTTTCAAGTAAGTGGATGTTTCTATTATCCAAATTTGACAGTTGAAGAAAATGAGATTTACTAAGGTTCACTTGCTGAAAGTTATCCATCTCATAAGTACTCAAGCCAGGACTCAAAATCAAGTCTACTCTGCAGGCTTGTGGTACTGGGAATTGAACCCAGGGCATATTCACTGGACCACATCTCCAGTCCTTCTTTATTCTGTGCTTTCTTTCCTCTTTTCCTTTCCTTTCCCCTTTCCTCTTCATTTTTCTTCTCTGACACAGGGTCTTGCCAAGTTGCCTACAGTGGGCTCAAACCTCCTATCCTCCTGTCTCAGCCTCCTCACCAATATTCATGACCATGGTGCTGTTAGCTAAGTCAGAGATAGATATAAAGTACTAATATGAAAGACAAGAATGACATGGTTAAAAATTACCTATTTTCTGGGAAAAGATGGTGGATTGAGCATATGTACCACATCCACTCCCAAAATTCCATTAAATGACAATAAAATTTTTACCTGTTTTAAAATATACACCAAGCTGGCCTGATGGTGCATGCCTGTAATCCCAGCACCCAGGAGGCAGAGGCAGGAGGATTGCCTCAAGCTGAAGGCCAGTCTGAACTACATAGCAATATCCTGTCTCAAAAAATAAATAAATGAAAGAAAACTAAATTATAAACCTAGAAGAACAGAAGTGGAGACAACACCAACAAAAAGTCAGAAGCTGGAAAGCAAATGGACAAGTAGTTAATAATGTAGCAGACCCAAGAAAACTGAATTCTGTGCCAGCAGCAGGAAAAGCCAAAAACAAAACAAAAAACCAAAAGCAACCCAATTCATGTCACAGAATTCCTAAAATGTTCAAAATTGGTGGCTATATGATATGTACTTCTGGAAGTGGGAGGTAAAACAGTAGAAGTGGGCCTGGGTGTGGTGGCCTATGTCTATAATCTCAGCACTTTGGAAGGCTGAGGCAGGAAGATAGTAAGTTTGAGTGCAGCCTGGGCAACTTAGCAAGACCCTGTGTCAAAGAAAAAAGGAAGAGGGAAGGGGCAAGGGAAAGGGAAGAAAAGGACAAAAAAAGGACTGGAGATGTAGTCCAGTGAAAAGGCCCTGGGTTCAATTCCCAGTACCACAAAAAGAAAAAAAGAAAAGAGAGGGAGGGAGAGCGCGCACAATGAACTGGTTATAGGCTTAAATAATCAGATGCTCTCTGTAACTCTACACAGCTAAGCAGCCTCCTTTCCCTGACTCACAAATCACCTTTCAGCAAAACTCAACACCAATAAGCCCCACCCACTTAGAACTTCTAATCAATTTGTTAGTCTTTATTTTTAAATACGGGACAACTAAGGATAACTAGATATAAAGAGAAGCATCCAAAATGAAAGAGAAAAATTGAGAAAAGCAATTTTAAATCAAATAGATTATGGAGGAAAAAGAAAACATCAAAAGTGGCATCACTGTATAAAGTAAGAAAAGAAAAAATAGAAAGGGAAGAAATCATCCTATAATTTCAAGTTTACGTTTACCAAGTGTCCAGCACAGTGAATTAAAATACACACCAAAGTATGTCATCATGGAATGTAAGAATACTACAGACAAAATATCCTTGTTTATCTGGGAAAAAATTTAGATCCCACACACAAAAAAATCAGGAATCAGTAACAGTTTCAGATTTTTCAGTAGCAAAAATGAAAGCTAGAAGCAATTGTGCAATAACTTAAAATTCTGAGGGAACTCTACATTCAGCAAACCATTAAATATTAGAATACAGTGCTCGCTTCAGCAGCACATATACTAAATATTAGAATAGAAATATTTGCCTCATATGCCACTTTTCTCAGAACTGTGCTGGAGAAATGGCTTCATCAAAATAAAGGAGTAAGCCTAGAAAAGACAAAATTAGCAAAAAACTAGAGATCTAACATAGGATAAGAGGAAAAGAAATTCCCCTGATGAAGGTGAAGGGAATTCCCAGGTTATAGTCACACACCAGGCATAGGTCAGAGGGCTCCAGGAAAAACTTATTCTGGAAGAGGAAACAGAGTACCCAGTGAAACTCAACAATGTGCACTATTTAGACAAATACCAAGTTTTGTTGATTTAATGAGAAGTTTATAGAAAAATTAAACCTAGAAAAACTAGAAAGATGTATAGGGAAAGAACTCCATGAATAGCACTTAAGAGCTTAAGAGTTCTAATGATACTGATACAATCAAAATCACTATGTACATTGGTGTTTTTTTTGGGTTTTTTTGGTACCGAGGATCAAACTCAGGTCCTTGTGCTTGCGAGGCAGGTGACACAACCACTGAGCTAAATCCCCGGCCCAACTCTGTACATTGGAAGAGATGATAAGAAATGTGTGTGGACATAAGGGGAGAAAACAAACTGAAGTCCTGATAATATATTGAGAAGTCAGAGGGCATTTCCTAAAGCAGAACAAACCAAGAAGCAACAAAACCATCATGTTATTTAGAGATACAATTAGCTAAAAGGAGGTGAATGTGTGGCCTCTGATTACGTACTTCTGCCAACCAAGACAAATAACTCAACTTAAAAACACATTTTTCACCTTTGGTATTACACATACTCAGCACCAAGCAGCAACGCTGCCTTTCATGAAGGCTGCTAGGCAGTAAGATATAATGCCACTTGACCAGGATCAGCAAATTCTCAAGTTCAAAATGAGAGGAATACAACTTGATGTAGCTTATAATAAGCTGTCACATGAATGACTGTTGGGTTTCAGCAAAAAGTGGGACAAAAAAGAAAAAAACTTTCTGGTATTTTATTAAAAATATAGACAAATAGTCTTGCACTTAAATACCATTGTGGTTTTGTGCCGACTCCCATTAAACACAGCTATTTGCAAGGGATTCATCACAAATATACTCTGGACAGAAGTAAAAATGTAAACAGAAATGACTGACAAGACAGTGACATTTCAGAGATAATCCTCTTACGATACTTGCTAAAATTGAGTTTGACATTATTTACATCAATGTTCACAGAGACTGAATTATCACCAGCATAAGGACACACTTTGACCACAAGACATCTTTTCATACTTCCTAATAGTTTTTTTTTTTTTTTGGTACCGGGGATCGAACTTGGGACCTTTCGCTTGCGAGGCAGGCGGTGGAACCACTGAGCTAAATCCCCGGCCCTTCCCAATAGTTTTATATTTTAGCTATGAGGATCAGTTACCAGAGTCCAACTAGCTCTTTTTTTATTTTTTTATTTTTTGGGTACCGGGGATCGAACTTGGGTCCTTGCACTTGCGCAGCAGGCGACAAAACCACTGAGCTAAATCCCCGGCCCCCAACTAGCTCTTATCAAGTAGAATTTTTATGTCCATTCAATCAGAGTCTCTTACACCTTTCTGAGCCTATTCATTTGCAGGCAGAAGAAACTGTAACCAGGTTCTTTTATCATATGTTCACAGATGATGTCCAATCTTCATATACTGTCCAATTTCTTCAAGATAAATGGAGCTGAAAGAAAAACAAAAGCAAAATTAGTTTTCAGCTCTATTTAGTTTCCACGCTGTTACAGAACTGTAAGACTAGGGGAAACCTTACAGGTTTAATTCACCACAAAATGATGCCCAAGCCTCTACTTGTACAACATCGCAAAAGAGACTCACTGCCTCTGCCATCCCAAAGCAGCTTATTCCACTGTCTTCAACTATAAGTACCATAAAGCTCATTGTTATAGTCTTTAAAATCTTTCCTCCAGGTAATTCTCTTTAAAGCCACAAACAGCAATTCCCAGCTGTCTCTCAAACGACAATCCTTTATTTTGGTGATCTTAACTGTAAAAGAAACAAAACTATAGAGAAAACAAATAGGTATTTCTCATCTTTAAAAATTAATTTGAAAATAGGCAGCAAGTAGGGGAAAAACACTGAAGTAAGGAACAGCTAAACACCTATTTTATCATTTCTGATTAGCTATCACTTATGTCCTCCTGATAACATCTGATACAGTCTTACGTCAGTTATTATGAGGTTTCATAAAGTAATATACACAGAAATATCTAGAAAACTAAGTGTCATATGGATGTAAATAAGTATTCTGTGTAAAAGTGCTGTGGTCAAAAACCAGAATGACATTCTTTCTCAATATTCATAGTTAATAGAACATTTTTAAAATAATAAACTAAAGACAAGATGTCAGAAGCTGATAAAGTAGTACATCCTGTCTTTTTTACTAATCTTTAAACATGGGGAGAAATCAAATAACAAATGGATAAACACAATGTAGTATATTCATACAAGGAAACCTTATTCAAATATAAAAAGAACATTCCAACACATTCTGTAACACAGATAAACTCTGAAAACATTATACTAAGTGAAATAACACAGACACAAAAGGATGCATACTGTGTAATTCCATTCATATGAAATAACCAGAATAGGCAAATCCATAGAGAAAAAGATTAGTGGTTGCCAGGACTGGAGAAAGGGGAAAATGAGGTGACAGCTAATTGGCATGGGTTTTCTTTCAAGAGTACAAAAAATGTTCTAGAATTGATTGTGATAATAGCTGCACACCTCTGACTACGCTAACACCCACTGAACTGCACACTTTAAATGAATGTATTATATAATGTAGAAATTGTACCTCAACTTAAAAATGATAATCCAGGTTGATAAGAGGAAATAAGTAAATTTGGGAGTTGTAAGCAGCTGTTGAACGACCTGGACGATTTGAGTATTTCTGTTCCTGAAGACTCCCTCTCCTGGGGAAGCAGAGAAGTACAACGAAAGACTACACAGTGAAAAAGGCACCTGAATCAGGGAGACCTCAACTTCAGTGAGCTCCAGCCTAGGCCTAACACGGGTCTTCTACGGCATGACCTTGGTATGGACTTCAATTATTTGAACCACCAAGCCTCTCCATCCAGACTAGTCAACGAATATACAAGCACAGAACAATGAGAAGGATCTCTTACAGAAAATGAGGAGACAGAGGCAAGTTTCTAAACCGTATTGGTAAAATTAGAGAACTGATCTATAAAGCTACTTCCAGCTGTTATATTCAGTGTGCCTGTAACCTGATGACTTTCGTATATCCCTCTGAAAATCGACTTCTCAAAGGGCCACTGTCAAGATTTAAAAAAAAAAAAAAAAGGGAAGTATCTTTCTGCTAACTATAAAATCAAATACCTCAGGTATTACTAATCCTGTAACTTCTTTCCTCCTGATTCCTTAGAAAACACAAAAAGCAATTATTTACCTCACCCTCTGTACAAATAAACAGGAAGCAAAATCTTTTAGATTTAAAAGGTCAGCACTGAAAAAAGGCAACCTATTAAGAGCTTCGGATTCTAGGTCAAGTTCATTCACTGGTCGCTCAATGACCTTGGACCAGCCATTTTCCTACTCCGGCACTGTTTCTTGGTCTGCAAACAGAGAACTTGGTCTAGGAATAAACTGTGAAAGCTCGTTCAACTCAAACACTCTTAAGATTAGGTGAACCAGAATGACTTAACCAGGCGTGCTAGGCCACCACGTGCACTTCGATATCCCTCCCCACCCTGACCCTAGACTGCGCATACTACCATCGCCCTCGACACGCTTTCTGTCTGCTCTCCGCGAATGCTCACTCAGCTTAGGGTCAACTCCTAAAGACCCCACAGCCGTCTGTAGAATGAAAGATAGATGAGCAGTGTCGACGAGATGGGCTCATGGTCACAGCCCAGGAGGACACTCACTGACTCGTAGCAGGGCCACGTAGATGAGGAAGTTCCGTACAGAGGAAATCACATCCTCGCGCATCTTCCGTTTCATCTCCTCGGGGTCCAGCTTCGGCGCGAGGCCCTCGATCCGGAACATCTCTGCTCCGCAGTAACACCTTCCAGCCACTGCGCTTTGCTCTCGGATCTTCAGGGGGTCCGATTCATACCAGGAACCGCGCCTAACCCCACTTCCTGTTCCCGCCCCTTCCGCGCGCGGAGACGGGAGCATGCGAGGGACAATTCTCATCCTGCCGGGCGACCTGAAGAGGGCGGACACGATCTTGCCACCGAGGCGCGGGTACTTCTGGACGGTTTCTGCCTTGAGCTGGGAGCACAACATTGTTAAATGGTTTTACGCCGCCCAGTAGAGGGCTATGCTCCTAGGTACCACCGAATATAATAACAGCTAACATTTATTGAATACTCAATACGGTTCTCCCTAAATTACATACATATTAGCATTTCCTGGATTAGAAAATTGAAGTACAGAGATCTTTAAAACAGCTTGCCAGATATACTTTCCCTCAGGCGGGAAAAAGTATCGAAGAGAAATGAAACAATATTTGCAAAATATTGAAAACTACTTAAACTGGTGATTAGTATATCATTTTAGTTAATTATTCTAGTCTTTGCATCTTGAGTATGTTTGAAATTTTCCGTGATAAGTGAAAATAAAAAGGCAAAGATAGTGAAACTTGCCCAAGATCACACAACTAATAAATGCCAGAGCAGGACTGTATACCTACTTAGAACTGTGAAACACCAGATAGAATTTTTTAAAAACATTTTCCACATTATTGCTGTATTCACATTTCTATAGCTAATCGATCCTTACAAGTCTAATTTAGGCATAGTAATCGAGCATGTGTAAAGCAAGTTCAAATCTGCAAAACATTTTACAGATGAGAGGAAGTCGCAGAAATTTATTAGTCATTCTATTACTGATGTGTACGCCAGGATTCTTATGTGGATAACTGTAATGTGTAGCTGAATCCTCTTTCCCCTGTACCCTGCTGCCTCATTGGTCCCTAACAGTACCTGGACATCCCTCGAGTCAGAAGGCAAGAGTTTAAGGCAATCAGTTTTTCTGTCACAGAATCATCAAAAGATTAATAGGCTGTTACCCCAAGTTCTGAATGACAGCTAGCCATATGTAATTCTCAGACATGAGCCAGATAACTCAATTGCTCACATAATTAGTATCAGAATGTTCCTTCTTGAAAACATAGTGCATAGCAATAATGAATTTTGGATAAATTAGAACAATAATTTATTATGGAAACAACTGATCTCTGTAAGCATTGCAACCTACCTTCCTAACTAATAGAGCGTAAGACATGGGGTGAGAAAAGGAACTCATCTTTGTATCCAAGCTTCAGTAATATTTTGCATCTATAATTCATGCAGTGGAATAGCAGAGACAGCTCTGGAATGGGAGGGGCAGACTCCCAAGAAATAGCCTCTGTCCAACCCTTTGTGAGTGTTTAGAAAACCTTCAGTAATGCTGGAAAGGAACAGGGGCTGTGGAAAGAAGCTGAACAGGGACATTGAAGACATAGTCCCTAAATCTGACACAGCTACTCACTGTCCACATGATGAGGGACAAGTCTCTGCTTCACTGCAACTTCATTTCTTTACAAGAACAGCATATGACTAAATGCTTTTGAAGGTCCCTTCCAGTTCTAATAGTTTATGTATTTTTAATTCTAACTGTGTCATAAGGACATAATGATTTGGAGTGTATGGTTATCACAGTATCATCAAATGTGATCAGATACCAAAGCAAGTATGTGCATTTTCCACACTGGGAAGAAGGTAAACAATGAGGCAAATCTCATCCAACTGAAAAGTGAGGGAAAACAGATTGGGAAGGAATGGGTTCTTGTATGATTTCAATATCTTAGATCTAGTTTATCTAGTTTAAGTAGTTCACATATAGAACTACCATATTATTTTCTTTATTGAGATGCTTTTGAGTAACTTGTCTGAATTCACAGGAAACTAGAGAAGGGAGAAATTAGCCAAAGATCGTGTTTCTTGGTAAGAAGAACAGGTTTTTAACATATGAACTTTACCTGTCCAATGCTAAATTAAAAAGGCAGCATTATTCTTACAACAATTCCTTAGAAAGCTCTGATGCTTGGCCACCTTTATAGACAGGAAGATAATGGATAGAAATATAGAATAGCTGTGTCCTGGAGTAAGATATATCCAGATATAGTCTAGCGGGGTGAACTGTTTGTGTCTCAGAAATGTCTTTCTCTTTCATGGCTTCTTTAGTTGTAATGGACGAAACTCATTAAACAAGGCTAGGCTCCTTTCCTTGGCTTTTAAAAGTGGTTGTTTATTTATTTGTCACATAGTTTGGTGGTATTTCCAATTACAGTGGGTTTAGGTGACGCAAATTGAGAAAATATGCTTCAGGAAGTCAACATTGGATAGAGCCACTTTGTATTTTACACCTCTAATTTTTTTTTAACTGGGAGGAGGAGAGGTTTGGGTCTAATCTTTAAAGTCACCTAAAGCTGTCAAATGCTGTAATTCTGTTCTCATCGTTTCTATTCTTTCTGCATAACCTTGAACCTAAGGGCAAAGGATTCCCTGTGCTTTACCATGAAAGGCAAAAAATGAAGAAGTATGCATGCAAAATTTAATACTGATATTTGTATTACTTGGTCTGTTCACAGATAAAATGGCAGCTGATGTCATAGCCTTATTTTCCATTTAGATCCCAAGAGGGATTTTGGAACCATTTCCTTTGCCTCAGCTTCCCAGATAATACTGTACATAAGCAATCAGAGCATACAACCCAGTCATAAGAGAATTAAGTGCTTTAATTTCCACCATTATGGAATAATTTGTATTTGCAAGGCCAGAGTTTGACTGATGACTCATGATTAGGAAATGAATCCAATATAAAATCATAGGAACTTTTGTTTATAATTTATAGGGAGCTATATTGAATAGTTCAATATTGGGTATTGAATAGTTCAATAACTGTTCAGAAAACTGAGGACCCAGTGAAGCTAGTTAGAAATAGAGATACCTGGAGTTAGGGTAGATCTCTGGACTCCCACATTGGCACTTTCCTCCATCATGCATTATGGTTTTTGCTACTTTTAACTATGAATATTCTCATTGACTCCCCCTCCTCCCCTGCAAAGGTAAGGCTTAGAAGAATGTGTTACTGTTCAATTTCATTTAGGGAGAGACAGATAAAAAGAGGCTGCTATTCATCAACAGACTGAGAGCAGCCCTTCTTTCCACAATGCCACACCCATTATCTGGATTACAGTCCAGTTAATTTGGACTGTATTATTGTGCAGCTCCACACCTCTCCTTCCTTATTCTTTCAGGCAAAGACATGGCTTGGAATTTCCAAAACAAACTGACTTTGAAATCCACAGGATCCACAGTGAATGAAATAAAAGACTGAACAAGGAAAAGACACTTCCACTCTCAATAAAGATTGCTCTGTGGTAAATGATAAACAGAGTTTCAATTGGAAGACAAGATAACTTAATTTTAGAAGTTACTGCCCAACAAAGAGGCATTTTCAGGAAGGAGAGCTTTTGAGCCTTAAAGGATGAGGAGTTTGATAACCTTTATTTCTCTGGCATTTGCTTTCTATAATACCTTCTTCTCTTTTAGAGACTTTGGTTTAGAACTTTGTTGTTTAGATGATTTTTGAATGTATGATCTCTTTCTAGATAGACTCTAAGCACCTCAAGTACAAGGAACATCACTCATTTTTTTAAACTATCACATTATCTATTGTCATTTGCCAGTCTCACTTATCTCTGTACTCTGAGTCACAGAAAATCTTTTTTAAAGGTGGCAGGAAGCTGAGCATGATGACACATGCCTGTAATCCCAGCACTTGGGAAGCTGAGGCAGGAGGATCACCCTGAGTTCAAGGCCAGCCTGGGCTACATAGTGAGTTCAAGGCCAGCCTGAAATACATAGTGGGATCCTGTCTCAAAAAACAAACAAACAAACAAACAGAATGGCAGGCCCAAGGAAAGACTGGGCTTCTAGCCTCATCCATTCCCTGAAATTGCCTGCTTTGAGGGAACCCCTTATTGCCAAATCCAAGGGACTCTTATAGGTCTTAGCCCCTCTGCTACATTTGTTGTTGTTGGTTACTCAACTCTTTTATGAAAGTTCTCCCTTTAACATTGAGGATACCATGGTCTCTGGTTTTCTTTTTACCTTTCCAGATGTTTGAGAGCTTCCTTCCAAATTTCCTCTATGGATCAGCTCTTAAATGGTCCTTCCCTGGATCCTCTTCTCTTCAGTACTCATGGACAATTCAGTCTTGCTTCAATTACTATTTTTAGGATAATGATTTTCCACCCATATATGTTTCCAGCTCATTCCTCTACAGGAACATGGACCTGTACATCCAACTGATCTCTTGACTTCACTTTCTCCTCCAATGTACTATGAGTGTTTCACACTTCACTTGTTCAAAGTGGAACCAATCATCTTCTGCTCTTATTCTGTTTGGGGCTGATATAACAGGATACTTGAGACTGGATAATTTATAAAGATCAGAGGTTTATTCTCTCACAGTTCTGAAGGCTGTTCCCAGATGGAGGCCCTGGCATCTGGTGTGTTGAGGGCCCTCTTGTTGCATCCTCACATAACGGAAGGCTGTAGGGCAAGAGACAGAATCCATTCCTGAAAGCACTTCTTATAATGGTATTGATGTTTTCATGAGGTCAGCATCTTCATGACCTAAACTCTTCCCAATATTCCCACTTCCCAACAGTGTTGCATCAGGGGTTAAATCTTCAATAAATGGGGATGTACCCAAACCATAGAGCTCTCCTAGTCAACCTTTATTCCCATACCCTACAGCCTAATAACTCCCACCATTATCTATTCTCTCCAGTTGATAAATCCAGAAACCTGGAAGTCAATTTCATTCCCACCCAAAGACCCTATATCTAATTAAATTCTAGCTTCTGTCAATTCTACCTCTTTTTTTTTTCAGAACTGGGTATTGAACTCAGGGGCTTTGCATTGAGCTGCATCCCCAGCCCTTTTTATTTTGTGTCATAGTCTGACTAAGTTGCTAAGTTTCCCAGACTGGATTCAAACTTGTAATCTTTGTCTCAGCTTTTCAGAGTGCTGGAATTACAGGCATGCACCACCACACCTGAATCTGCCTTTTTAATATTTCTAAAGGTC